CAGACCCCGGGCGGGGGCCCCGGGGGCCGGGGCGGTGGCGGGGGGGGGCATCACTAGCAGTCCCCGCGAGCCAAAAAGGCACTTAGTCTCTCACTGAACTGTTTATTGAGCACCTCCGAGGTGCCTGGTGCTGTTCCAGGCGCTGTGGAATCAGCAACGATCGGGACAGAGAGGACTCCTGCTCTCGGAGCCTGCGCTCTCTCGGGGTGGACAAATGCTCAAAAAGCGAGTGAAAAATAACTTTGGATATTTTTCCCGATCCATGAACCGGGGTAGAGGGACTGCAGGGGGCGGGAGGAGGGGGCGGCCTTCTCCACAGAACGACTAGGGGAGATGTCTTCGAAAGAGGGCTGTGTTGGCTCAACACGGGGTGACAAGAAAAAGCCGAACGGGCCGGAAATGGGGGAAGAGGGTCAGGCAGAGGGAGTGGCAAGCGCTGGAGACAGGAGAGGGCCAGGGCGGCCGGAACAGGACGAGAGGCAGAGAGGTCGCCGGAGTGGAAGTCAGACGGGGGCCAAGGCCCCCTGGGCTGTGTCGAGAATTTTGGATGTGGTTTGGTTTCCAGGAGGACAGTGAGCCCCTGGAGAGCCTCCGGGAGGGACGGCAAGGGGGAGCGGCGGCTGCGAGCTGCCTGGGGTAACGTCTTGATGCAGGGCCCACCCCTTACCCTGTTGTCTTCTGGTCCCAGACGTGCACTTGAAAAAACTGACTTCTGGAGAGAGAGGCAGGGACACCCCACGGAGCAGAAGGACATTCTGATCACAGGAGGTCACTCGGCTCCCAAACCTTACTGAATTAGATGTATTTTATTGAGGCTCACTAAGTGTGGCTTAGCTTAATGGCTGTCACTGCAAATAAACAATCCAGACAAGCTGGCTAAGGAAAAAAACAGGTAATGTCCCTCTAGGGGACCAACCGAATATAAATCATGACCAGCTTATAGCTAGGTTCTAGGTGTGTGTGTGTGTGTGTGTGTGAGTGCGCACATGCACACATGTGCACACATGTGCGCAATGTGCACATCCACACATGCATGCACACACCTGTGCAGACACATACACACATTTACACATGCACACATGCACGTGCGTGCACACACACACGGCTTCTTTGGAAACAGACGCTGCGCTGTGACGTGGGGACAGGAAGCTGCGGGGCCTAGGGCGGGGGTGCGGGGCTGCGGCCCTCGCTCTGGGCCCAGGTCTACTGCTCCCTGGCTGTGAGACCTGGGCAAGTCCCTTAACCGTTCTGGGCCTTGGCGACCTGCTCTGTGGAGGGCACTAGCAAGGCCCCTGCCTCCTGGAGCGGACGGAGCTCTCGGCACGGGCCGGGCTGTGGCATTTGGCCCTCAGTTGGAGGGCGTAATCCAAGCCGAGCTGGATGAGGCAGCGACACCCCTGCCAACTGCCCACACCTCCCTGGGCTGGAAGCCAGAGGGGCAGGCTGGGGCCGGGCCGAGCCGGCTCTCGGGGAGTGACAGGCCGGGTGGTCTCACTCACTCCAGTTGGGGTGCTGCTGGTAGTTGCAGTAGCTGGCTCCCGGAGGGAGGGGCTGGCTGTACTGGGCGCACCCACATTTTTCCACCATCTTGTTCTGGAAGCAGGAGTGGAGGCAGATCTGGAAGAGAAACCAGTGACTCCTTTCACCTCCTTGCTCGGAGGCCAGAGAGCTTGTTCCTGCACGCCCCTCACGCCCAGGGCCGGCCCCCCACAGCCTGGGGGGCCACGTGGACGTGCCCCTCAGGTCACAGCCGATCTGGCTGAGTGGTCCCCGAACTCCAGGGAGATCAAGCCCGACAACTTATGGAGAGTGTAGACTGACGGAGAGGGGGACACCAGGCTGAGCGGAGCTGGGGCCGGGCTGGCCATCTACCGCCACTGAGATAATGAGAAGTCGGACGCCAGGACACAGAGACACACGCGTGCAGTCCCCAGCGCTCCGGTTCTCCGCTGCATGACCCCCGTGCTGGATCCTTGGGGATCACAGGCCACTACCATATCCGCAAGGCTCATCCTGATGACAGGGGCTCTGCAGGCAGGCCCCGCGCGTTCAGACCTCAGCTGTGTGCCCCTAACCTCTCTGATGCACTAGGTTTTTCGCCTTCGAAATAAGGGTAACCACACCTCCTTCCTGAGGTGGCCGCGAGCGTGCAATGAATTGCGTCTGTACAGGTGGCCTTTCTCGCTAAGTCTTGTCCAGCAGTGTCTTTCCATGGTGCCGATCTTTTGTTTGTCTGTTCTGGTCTAGAAGTCAGTTTGACTGCGTTTCTATTTGCTGCAAGCAGATGTCTCTCTTCACTCAGTGTCTCAGTCACCTCTCCGCTCAGCTCTGACGTAAACCAGAGCAGGGGGCCTCAAGCCCCTGGACCGCTCCATGGCCTGTTAGGAACCGGGCCTCACAGCAGGAGGCGAGCGGAGGGCTTGTGAGCAAAGCTTCATCTGTCTTTGCAGCCGCTCCCCAGAGCCAGCATCACCGCCTCAGCTCCGCCTCAGACCACCGGGCATTAGATGCTCATAGGAGCCCTCGTCCCTGGTGCCACAAAGGCTGGGGACTGCAGAGCTAGAGGGGTTGGCGCAGAGGGGCGCCTGGCCCTTTTGTCGTGCTGGGGTGCGTTTTGTCGGCTCTCCCATCCAACCTCCCCTCCCATCACCGAAGGGGATACAACTTGCCCAGGGCCGTCAGCGGGGGAGGGGCACAGTGGGCCCAGAGGCCAAGCTGACGACCCCTCAGCCAGCGTCTGTCCCAGATGGCGTCCCCCCGCCCCTCACTCGCCAGGACGCATGGAGGAAGCGGGCCCGTCTCGGCCACACGCTGTCCTCCACGCTGACCTCCATGAATCACTTAGGCTCTGGTTACAGTTGGGCTGAAGGGGACTGGAACCAGCCGGCGCCATCTGTCACTGAGGTGTCTGGACGAACCCCAAGAACCCTCTCCGGAGTTCCTGGTCCCAGACACACCCAGGCCTGTGTGTAGCCTTGT